TATGTCTGGACCAGCAGTCATCCTTCAGGGCTTTCTGCTTTGTAGGAACCTACGGCGGATCCGGAAATGTCAGCGTGGTCGAGAACAGCAGGAAAAGGAAGGGAAGGAAGGAAACAGTAAGAAGAGCATGGAGAATGTGGATAGCCTGGATAAGCTGGAGTGTAGGTTCAAGCTGAATTCCTACAAGATGGTGTATGTGATCAAGTCCGAGGACTACATGTATCGGAGGACGGCCTTGCTCCGGGCTCATCAGGTGAGGACCTCTCTCCCCAGCCAGGACCAATCTACCCCAGAGGCTTCTGTTTTCTTCTCTTCTTTTATGTAAACCTCCACTTAGATTTGAGAATTATTGAGTAAGCCAGTGTATTGGGTTGTAAAGTTTGCTGTAACAAAGTACCACACAAACTGTGTGACTTAAAAAACAGAAATTTATTGTTTCAGAGTTCTGAAAGCTAGAAGTCCAAGTTCGAAGTGTTGACAAAGTGGGTTCAAACCTTCTGAGGGCTGTGAGGAAGAATTTTTGCTTGCCTCTTCTAGTTTCTGGTAGTTAGCTGGCACCCTTTGGTATTCCTTGGCTTGCAGATCTCTGCCTTCATTTTCACATGGCATTCTCCCTGTGTGTGTGTCTGTGTCCCAATTTTCCTCCCAGTCATACTGCATTTTGGGTTCACCCTACTAACAGTATGACCTCATCTTAAGTAATTATGTCTGCAACAACCTTATTTCCAAATAAGTTCACATTCTGAGGTACTGAGGATTAGGACTTGAACATATGAGTTTGGAGGTGTGGCACAAATCAACCCATAATAGCTGGTGGCACTTTCCAGTGAAGCTACTCCCAGCATTTACTTTCAAGTGGTACTGCTTATATGAAGCCTACCTGTTTTCATATGCTGCCTCAATTGTGAAACTTCCTGGTGCACTTACATACCAGGTATTGAGCCAGCCTCTGGGACTACAACCATGAAGTAGAACATATAAGGCAGTGTGATACAGAATATTAAGGAAAGAACTGAGGTGAAGTGATGTGCAGGCCCAACTTTTGTTGGGAGAGACCGCTCTAAGGAGATGATGCTTAAAGCCTGAACAGTGACATGGATCCAGCAAGGTAAAGAGTCAGGGCTTGATACTTTCTAGGCTGAGAGGGAGGAATGTGTGAGAAACTAAAACCATTAGTGTGGCTTGAGCCATAAGGAAAGTGGGATGTGTGAAGTTGGAAGGGTAGGTAGAGGCCACATTGTTCAGTCTTATAGGCCATGGTTTGGATTTTTATTTGAGGTGCGTGTGGGACATTGTTGACAAAGATGGCTTGGACTGTTATGAGAATGGGACTGAGTGCACATGAAGTTGGAAGGGCAAAGACCACTCAAAAAGACTGGTCTTGTGCAAATGAGATTTGATGCTGACATGGGCTAGCAGTGGAATTATAAGAATTAAACATCTGGAGATATAATTTGAAGATACAGTGGTCAGGTAATTATCAGATTCCCATTCAAGATAAGAGAGAGAACATCTAGGATGATGCCTGGTGATTTTTGTTTGTTTTGCTTGAGTAAGTGGGAAGTTTAAGGATGCATCTTTTATTAGGAAGAGATTGCCATTTTTGAGGGGCAGATCAAGCCCTTTGTTTTGAACTGGTTAAGTTTGATAGGACAATAAAACATGCAAGTTAGAGATGCTGAGTGGATGGTTTAATGTACTTCTGTATATTGTATGACTGTGTCTCTGATTCAGATTATTTGGGGAGCCGGGCAACCTCTAATTCATCCTTTCTCCTACTCTGCCATGCACGTGAGCACCAATAAATGTTTGCAGGATGCATAGGTAGGAACATAAACCCCCACTGAAGATCTGCTATGCCTGGCATTCTGCTGGGCAGGGTGGGGGTAATACTGTGAGGGAGAGTGGGTTTTAAGCCCTTTACTCTGAATCATGTTACTTAGAAGTGGATTGCCATGCCACTTGCTGATAGAAGGGACAAACAGCCACAACTCATGTCTCACTTGGTGGGGGTATATTAGAATCAGCTGGTTTGCTGATTTTAAAATGTAGATTGATGGAATCAAGGAACTCTGTATTTTTATCAAGTTCCTCAGGTGATACTAATGAATGCTAACACTGAGAAGCAATGAGCTTGTGCTGCCCAGACCCTGTGTTGGCATTTCTTTGATTGCTCAGTGGGTTCCAGCTCCTTACATGCTTTATGTTTTTAACCTCTTTTCGTTCTCTTCTTTAAACATAGATTCCTATTGCTTTTTAAAAAATGTTTTCCACTAACCAGTATTATCAGAGACTTGAGCCCATATCTTTCCTCTGCAACTTTAGGAGAAAATTAGGCTTTGTATTTAAGGGGTTTTTTTGGTCCTAGTTCATGGGAGATTTTTTTGTGTGCTTGTTCTGTTTTGCAGTCCCATGAGCGTGTAAGCAAGAGGCTACATCAGAGGTTCCAGGCCTGGGTAGATAAATGGACCAAGGAGCATGTGCCCCGTGAAATGGCAGCAGAGACCAGCAAGTGGCTCATGGGTGAGGGGCTGGAGGGTCTGGTGCCCTGTACCACCACCTGTGACACAGAGACCCTGCACTTTGTGAGCATTAACAAGTATCGTGTCAAATACGGCACAGTGTTCAAAGCTCCATAACTGCAAACCCAGAGCAGATAACTTGAGGGAGACATGTGGAGGGTAAGGGTGCAGTTCACGTGCCCTCACACACACTGAAGAAACGAGGAAGATGCCTTTCAAGCCTCACTGGGCCTCTCTAGGACATGGCCACCTGATCTGTCGGTGCAGCCTGGCACCAAGTGGGCAACATGTAATAAACATGGGTACTTTACAATGCTGGAGCTGGAACTTTCCCCAGGGGGTTTGGGTATTATCCTGCCCTGAAGGTGAAGGAAATCCATGCAAGCATAGACACACAGCTTGCTTGCACACACCAGCAGAGCTAAGACTGGAGTCTCCTGGGGCGTGAGCTTCGATGAGGAAACCAGGTGCTGTTCAAACCTTGGCTGATTGACAAACAGACTGGGGAAGACTCAACGCTTAGATGGGTTGTAACTCTGATGGTCACTGCTCTTCTCTCCCCACACAAGGAGAACAAAACTGGATTTGAACCCCACCCCCACCCCCGTCACATGAGCACATTTAGAGCATCCATTAGATTTTATCTGGGACCTGCAGTTTGGCTTGGGATTGATCATCTTGTGGACTTGATTCCTGACGAATCCCTTGCTGCCTCCCTTATACTCTCTCCTCCGGTTATCAGCCTCAACAAGTTCAAATCAGTTCTTTCTAGCTCCCGTGGAACTATTTTCTACCTGCTTCTTTACAAGTCTGCCCTAGTGCCATCCACCAGCTTTACTCTTTCTCAAACACACAATTTTAACGTGGTTTTTCTTTTCTTTTTTGTAAATAATGTACATACTGTCAATTTTTTATTAAAGGAAATATGCTTTGATGTGCTAGCAAAAGTGCTCTAGCTTCTTGTGTACCATAGTTCTATGTGGCTTCAGATTTAGTACCTATGAACAGGTGTGCAAGACATTTATTACACTTTTTACCAAAGGGAGTTACCATTGTAGTACTTTTGTGTAAAACTTGTCTTCCCCTTGCACCAAATTTTTTCTTTTTATTTCTTTTCTTTTTTTTGGTAAATAAATAAAGCTTGGTACTTAAGGAATAAACTTGCAACCCAAGTCCCTTGTCCTCACCAGAGAACCAGGGATTTAGGCCCAGTTCTTCATTCACAGTACCAACAGGCTTTTGCCTTAGATAGCAATTTCACTTAAGTAAAAATATTCCAAATTTTTGAGGCAAAATAACTTCATTCTTTCAGTACATGTTTTTTCCTCCCTTATTTCAACTGTTTGGAAATATGTGATATTTGGGTAAGTTGTCTAGCTATATAATTTGTATTTCTCCATAATTTTTTCTTACCTAGAAATGGGGGTGAGTAACTTAAATACCAAATCAGTATTTGAAAGAAATGTGCATAAGGCATGTTGTATAAGTGGGTTTGGGAGTGAGATTTGGTACTAACTACAAATGAATATATATATATATATTTTAGTTACATAAATTTAAACTGGCAGACATTCAAACCTGAGTGATTAGGATTTTTATATGTGGCCAGCCTGGACTTCTGGTGGATTTTCCTCCAGCAACGATTTACCCTAGTCATAGTTGCAAAGTGACCAATTGTTTTGTTTGCTTTTTTGATAAAAAAAAAAAATCCGCCCCCTCCCCCAACACACACACACACACACACACACACACACACACTAAAACCCCACACATTTTTGGCTTCTGGACTTTCAAAATACATATATTTCCCTGACTTTTTTGTTGGTGGGGGTGGGGGTGGGACGTGGGGGGTGAGGGAAGAGATGACATAAGAGACTGAACCCAGAAGTGTAGGGTGGCAAAAGAGCCTTGTGGGAGAGTCTAGGGTGAAGCTGGCTGGGGCCAGTGCCTGACTCAGCGATGGAGTGATACATACGGATTGGGGAGGGGAGATCTTCAGGTTTTCCCAGCAATAACTCACCTCTTCTCTGCTCACTAAAGAAAGATCTTGTTGACTTGGAATTATGGGGGAAATTGATGGGGCCCCATCTGTTACCGTCTCTGCACAGGGTTATGTCCAGAGCACCTGCTTGCAGGTCAGGAATAGGGTTTCAGGGCCAGTTAAGGAGAAATCCTTCAACCCACCAGTGCATCCAAAATGGAGGGGAAGCTTCACCTACAGGTAGGGTTTTCACAAGCAGCATTTTTATCTCCTGTCTTCTGACATCTGAGCTACAAGCTCTAAACCCAGCCTGTATTATAGCCGGCAAGTTATTTTTATTTCAAATGTTTGGTATTGTGTACTCAGTCACCTTTCTGTGTGGTTTGCATTTTCAATGTTGTAAATTTGACTTGGTCAGTATTTCCATTAAAATATCAGGGCTAATATTGTGTATATATATTTTTTTTACTAATGATATTATAGACAACTCCCTGTAAATCCTAGAAGGGGGTCGGGGGAAGGCTGCCAACTGACTACTAGAGTAACATGAAAATGAAATTAGAGGTGCCTCTGGCATTATGTCTTCTCAACTCTTTAGTCCTATGTGGTGAAATATAGTGTTCTACTGGATTTTGAATGCTATGACTAACATGCCATCTCAAATCAAATTCTTAACAGTTTCTGGTGATGACTACCATTCATAATACATAAAATAGGTAGTAGAGGAAGCTGAGGTTACTGGGGTACAAAGCCGTCCCTAATTAACACCATGTCCCTTCCTGGCGGCCCCAGCTCTTTCCCGGGTTTTCGAAGGAGCCAGAGGCCGGGCTGGCACTGGAGTGCTGAGAGATTCCCACTTGCTGCTGCCCAGGTCCAGTGATCCGCTTCTGATATGTCTAACGGTCCCCTCTGTCCTGGAGCTTTCAGAGGATCTAAACGTCAAACTTCCCATTTTATTTAGGGATATTCCAAGTGGCCCATCAGTCCAGATGAGCTAGAGGAGAGCCCCTGAAGCGCTTCTTTCAGTGCCCCGCTCTAAGCTCAGGGCAGCTGGGCTCCGAGAGCCTCGGTGGGGTAGGAAGAGGCTCGCGCTGCAGGAAGGCGCTGTGGTCCGCAGGAACCTTTACTTCCGGGCAGCCCCGGAAACCGGAAGAGCGCAGGGCGTGCGGCAATGGCGGCGGCCGTGGTCCCGGCCCTGAAGCACTGGCGTACTACGCTGGAGCGGGCGGAGAAATTCGTGTCGCCAGTCTACTCTAGCCACGACTGTAACCTCCGCAGCAGGTGTGGCCCCTTATTTCGCTGGCTGGCATCTCCCATGCACCTCAGCCTTCCTCTCTGTGGGTGAACCCACACTGCAGTAACCTGGACTGATGGATCGAGTACCCGTTCTCTGTGGACAGGGTGTGGGCCGGGAGGAGGGAGCGGGCAGGCTGTGCTGTGGGACAGCCCTCTCTCCAAAGAGGATTGAGGGACCGTGCATTCCACCTGCCAGTGTGCCCATTGGCCTCAAACGCGCGCCCACTGGCCCCTCCTGCCCAGGCTTTACAGGGACAGCTGCCCAGTGGCCGGGCTTTCCAGTTTCTTGACGCCTGAGAGGCTCCCCTACCAGGAGGCAATCCAGCAGGACTTCTGCCCAGCGCAAGTCGGGGACAGCTTTGGACCCACGTGGGTAAAGCCCAGAAACAGGGCGGGGCCAGCGGGCCAAAGGAAGTCCCCCCTACCCCCACCTTGGGCTGGCTCTCTTCTAAGAAGGGTCACACCTCCATTGTCTGCCCCTGGTTCCTCAAATTTCTTGAAAGAGTTCGTTTTTTTTCCTTTTCTCCCAGTCCCTGGAGCCCCCTTAGGAAAGATACTCCAGGACAGATCACAGATCCCTGACTTCTCTGCCTCTTTCCTTAATCTTGCTGCACACACCTTGATCCTCTCTTGTTGGTCAAATCTGAATACCTTATGATGCATAGACAAACCTCAAGCCCCTACTGACTCAGTCCAAGGAAGTACTATTTCAAAAGGACAAGGCTTCCACACTGAGGCCCATCTAAGTGGCTCTCTTGCAGATGGTGGACCTGCTGGTTCCGGGTGGAGCTGACCATCCCAGAGGCATGGGTGGGTCAGGAAGTTCATTTTCGCTGGGAAAGTGATGGAGAGGGCATGGTGTGGCGTGATGGGGAACCAGTTCAGGTAAGAAGTCTTGCTTTAGGCCTAGGGACAGGCATGGCCACATTTCAGCTCTAGTCTCTGGAGAAGCCCTAACTGAGGGGCTCTGTTTGCAGAGTGGTATCAGGATTTCAGGACTGGGGAGGTTGCCGCTTGGGCGGCCCCTGTGGTTGGCTCACAACGTAATTAGTGCTAAACCAACTCTGTAGCTGATTGCCCATCTTCTCATTCTGGGCTGAATATGGTTACTGACCAAGTACAATAATAGTAAGTACAGCAGATCCATTTATTAACCCTCTTGCTAGGTGCCAGACTCGTGGCTTTGCAGACCACAACTCTTGATTTTTAGTATTTAATAAACAAGTTTTTTATTATGTGTAATATATATTATTGGGGGGAAACTTTCAGATATCTGTCTCTATTACCCCATCCCAGTTCCCCAAATATAACCATCAAGTGTCTTATTTATGCATCTAACAATATCTTTATAATACTATGTGGTTGATCTTTATAACTGTTTGCAGATTAAGAAGCTGAGGTATGTAGAGGTTAGTTCAATTGTTCAGTTTGCACAGCTTCTATTCCAATTAGACTTTCAGTCTCAGGGTAGGACGGTTGTCCTACCTGTATAACAAAAGCCCTCCATTGGCTAGCAGATATCTCCTGAATGCTCTCTTTGGGCCAGGCCCAATGCTAATCACTGGGGGTATAGCAGAAAATGAGACAAACCTGTCCCTGACTTTCCCTTCAGGTACTTATTCAGGGGTACAGAGGCCACCAGAAGCCACACCCAGGTTTTCTGACACCTGCCCAAGACCCTTCCCATAAGACGTGGGGCTTTTCTACTGGTGCCATTGGTGGTGATGGCATTGACTGCCATGAGGGTTGGGGCATCTACCAGAGGTCCGATTTATCAATCTTGGCCTTGCCTGGGGGAGCGAAGCCAAAGCTGGGGACTGAGTGGAGGGTATTAGATTCCCTCAGCTTATACTTCATTTGAACAACCTTAGGCCCTGTTTCTTTCACTTCACTCCCACCAGGGTTTGACCAAAGAAGGGGAGAAGACCAGCTATGTCCTGACTGAGAGACTAGGGGAAGGAGACCCCCGGAGGTGAGTGAGTCCTTGTGTGCTGATTGACCAAGGCTGTAGGGAAGACGACAACAGTGGGGGAGGACACAGTGGGAGCTGAGGCCCAGAATGATCTTGGAAACACCCACTCCCAACAACACAACCATCTTCAAATTTCAATGTTTGTTTTTAAGTGCAGGATTTTCTTTTTTCTGGCTATAAAAATGTTTGCCGCCTTGTGGTAAATACAGAAAAGTTAACAAAGAAATAAATATCTCCCATCATCCCACTACCTAGAGATGACCACTATTGACATCTCAACATTCATCTCAGGAATTCTTCCAGGTCTAGTTTTTACTAGTTTAGGTTACATTTCCTTGATATTTGTATCCTGAATTTTTCATTCCATGTTACAGCGTGAACATACATGACACCATTAAAAACACTTTATTAGACATTACGGTTTAACGTTATAATATTTATTGAACACTGTGTCTGATGCTGCCAGACACTGGACCTGTGATGGTGAGTAATGTGGTCCTCTGCATCAAGGGGACTCATACATACTTACACAGTTACAAAACGGATGAGAGAAAACCCTGGGAGCTCAATGTGAGAACTGTTCCAGGCTTAGGAGAGGGGTGGGAGGAGGGTCAGGGAGGGCTTCCCCAAAGAAGTCATGTTTCGTCTCTAAAGACTGAGTAGAACAGCACCATAGCCCAATGTGCTGCTCCAAAGAATAGCCCGCCCTGTGTTGGCTGATGGATCTTTACTCTGGGACTTCCAAAAATGTTTTTTTGTTTTAATTTATCTTCATTGTTGAAAGTATTACAGATGTTCCTTCTCCCCCCCCCCCCCATTGACCCGCTCCTCCCTGCTCCTACCCACCCACTCCTGCCTTCCCCACACTATTGTCTGTGTCCACTGGTTATGCATATATCCATCTAAGTTTTTTGGTTTATCTCTTCCTGCATCACCACCCCCTTTCCCTTTCTGTACCTATGAGTCTGCTTCTGTTCTGCTTGTTCATTTGGTTTGTAGATTCAGTTGTTAGATATGTATTGCCATTTTATTGTTCATATTTTTGACATTTTTATTCAACAAAATCCTTCAACATTTCACATAATACTGGGTTGGTGGGGATAAACTTCTTTAGCTTTTTTTTTTTTTCTGGGAAGCTCATTATATGTCCATCCATTCTTAATGATAGCTTTGCAGAATAGAGTGATCTTGGTTGTAGGTCCTTGCTTTTCATCATTTTGAATATTTCTTGCCACTCCCTTCTGGCCTGCAAAATTTCTTTTGAGAAATCTGAGCCCTGGCCAGTTTGGCTCAGCGGTTAGAGCGTTGGCCTGTGGACCAGAGAGTCCCGGTTCGGTTTCCGCTAAGGGCACATACTTTGGTTGCAGTTTGTCCACGGCCCCGGTTGGGATTGTATGGGTGGAGACCAGTCGATGTGTTTCTCTCACATCGCGCGCGCACTTTTCTCTCTCTCTCTCTCCCCCCCCCCCCCACCTCTCTCCCTCCCACTCTATCTGAAGATGAATGCAAAAATGTCCTCGGGTGAGGATAAATAAATAAATTTAAAAAAAGAAATCAACTGACAGTCTTATTGGGAGCTCCCTTGCAGGTAACTATCTGCTTTTCTCTTGCTGCTTTTAAGGTTATCTCTTTGGCCCAGCTGGTGTGGCTCACTGAATGAACATCAAACCATGCACCAAGAGGTCGCCAGTTCTATTCCCAGTAGGGCACATGCCCAGGTTGTGGGCCAAATCCCCAGTGGGGGGCATGCAGGAGGCAGCCAATTGATGTTCTCTCTCATCGATATTTCTATCTCTCCCTCTCCCTTTCTCTCTCTCTAAAATCAATAAAGAAAAAAATTTTTTTTTCTAAAGATTTGTATTTTAATTATAATGTGTCTTTGTGTGAGCTTCTTTGGGTTCATCTTGTTTGGGACTCTCTTTGCTTCCTCGACTTGTATATCTGTTTCCTTCACCAACTTAAGGAAGTTTTTTGGTCATCATTTTTTCAAATAGGTTTTCAATTTCTTCTCTCTCTCTTCTCCTCTGGCACCCCCATGATCGAATGTTGGCACACCTGAAGTTGTCCCAGAGACTCCTTACACTATCCTCATTTTGGGGTTTTTTTGTTTGTTTGTTTTGCTGTTCTGATTGGGTGGTTTTTACTTCCTTATATTCTAAATTGATGGTTTGATTCTCAGCTTCACCTACTCTATTGTTGATACCCTGTAAGTTATTTTTATTTTAGTTAGTGCATTCTTCATTTCTGACTGGTCCTTTATTATGCTCTTGAGGGCCTCTAGACCTCTAGACTAATTTCCTTTAGCATCCTTATAGCCAGTGTTTGGAACTCTGTATCTGTTAGATTGCTTATCTCCATTTGTTTAGTTCTTTTCCTGGAGTTTTGTTCTGTTCTTTCATTTGGGACATGTTTCTTTGTCTCCTCATTTTGGCTGCCTCCCTGTGTTTGTTTCAATGTATGAGGTAGAGTTGTTACATCTCCTAGGCTTGATAGGGTGCCTTATTGTAGTAGGTGTCCTGTAGTGTCCAGTGGCACAGCCTCCCTGATCACCCCAGCTTAGTACTTGAGGTGCACCCCCTCCGTGGACTGTGCACCCATCTGTTGTAATTGAGTGTTGATTGCTGTTGACACGTCACTGGGAGGGATTTAGTCAGGCTGATCAGCTGTAAGGACAGGCTGTACCCACTAACCACTGACCTCTGACGACCTTGGGGGATGAGCTGTGCAGGGGCCTACCACACAGAGCTAAACTTACTTCCATAGGTCTCTGGTACCCACCAAATGCACCCCATGAGTGTGTTGCTTGTGGAGGTGGTTGGGTCATGGTGCTTAGACGTGTCTGAAGCTATCCACTGGGTGTGCTGGCTCTGGGGCCTTCCAGGAGGCTCAGACCAAGGCCAGCCACTGCCTGTGTTCTACCCAGGACCACCAGGCATAGGCTCCAAAGTGATCTGCAGATGGCTGCTTCTTGTGCTGGACTTGGAGGTGCTCAGGCAAGGCTAAGCTGGGAACTAAGGCCAGATGCTGCTTATTTGAAAGATTTTAGGAAAATCCAAAGCATGAGCCAAGACAGGTCATTCCAATGGTAATGCCACTGGAAACAGCATTAGGGTAGGCCCTAAAGTGGGGTGGGGCAGGGCCTCAGGGAATCAGAATGGGGAAAACAGTTTGAGCCAGGTTGCTGGAGTCCCATATGGTGTGGTTCTGCTATCCCGGTGGTGGGAAGGGCACACCAAAGGAACAAAGGCCTCCATCAGCACAGCTGTCTGGGAGAAAGCTGCCTGTCCAGCGCTCGCCCAGATGGCAAACAACTCAGTTCTTCCCTGTATGTCTCTGGTGCCTTTCAAACTGCTTCCCCCATGCTGGAGCTCAGAGGGGGCGAGTTTGAGTAAGTCTGTGTGTGTACCCTCTAAGAGGAGGAGCTGCCTGGGACTCTAGCAGCCTCAGCTTCCCTCAGCCTCAATGACTGCTGGTTTTTACAGCCAGAAGTTATGGGGGCTTCTCTTCCTGGCACTGGAATCCTGAGCTGGGGGGGCCTGGTGTGGAACAGGGACTGCTTGCTTTTCAGGGAGGGCCTTCACAGCTGAGGTATCTTTCCCGGTTTTTATCCACCACAAGTGGATGTGGGACCAGCCCTTCCCTGCCTCTGCCCCTCCTACCAGTCTTGATGTGGCCTCTTCTTTAATTTCATAGTTGTAGGACTTTCATTCAGCTTGATTTCAGGTGGTTCTGAATGATGTTTGTTCTGTTCTTTATCTGTAATTTTTATGTGGTTGTGGGAGGAGACAAATATTGCGTTTACCCTACACCACATCTTGACTGGAAGTCTTTTGTTGTTGTTTTGTTACTTCTCACTTGAGGATATTTTTCCCTTGATTTTTAGAGATAGTGGAAGGGAGAGGGAGGGATGGAGAGAAAGAGAGGGAGAGAAGGAAGGGAGAAAGGAGGGAGGGAGGGAGGGAGGAAAGGAAAGGAAGGGAAGGGAAGGGAAGGGAAGGGAAGGGAAGGGAAGGGAAGGGAAGGGAAGGGAAGGGAAGGGAAGGGAAGGGACAAGGAAACAATGTGAGAGAGACACACCTGCACGGACCTGGACCTGTGCCAGGGTTTGAACCTGCAACCCAGGTATGTGCCCTTGACTGGGAATTAAACCCGAGAGCCTTCGGTGCGTGGGCCGATGCTAACCACTGAACCACACTGGCCAGGGCCAGACATGCTTTTAATCTGCAAAGACAGTTCTGAGACCACGGCAGTGCTGTGTAAAGATAGCTTTTGGAACAAATGGCTAAACAGCAGCATTACACAGTTTTGAGCCGCTTGTTCTTACGTACCGTAGTAGAGCTCTCATCATCACTATATGGGTTCAGGCTGGTGCTTCTGTCACTCTCTCATACTTGAACTTGATATACTGTGGTATCCTGGGGTTGAATGGGGAGGGGTCATCTGGATGCTTCGGTCTTCCCTCCCTAAGCCCCCAGAGGTCTTTGCTAGTCCCTTGGCCTAAGAGTGCTTCCCTATGTTTGTAGCCTGACCCTCTATGTGGAAGTCGCCTGCAGTGGGCTCCTGGGGGCGGGGAAGGGCACCATGATCGCAGCCCCAGACCCAGAGAAGATGTTCCAGGTGAGCCGGGCTGAGCTGGCCTTGTTCCACCAGGATGTCCACAAGCTCCTGGTGGATCTGGAGCTGCTGCTGGGCATGGCCAAGGTACTTGATACCCCACCCCACCTGGCCACTCTCTAGAACTGTAGGCAGGTTATTTCTTGGGTCAGATAATTGGGACTCTGGGAATGCAGAATGGGGGGGTGTTTCTGCCTGCCCTAGAGTTGATAGGGTTTCTCTGTGTAAAGGGGAGGAGGGAAACAGTGCTGAGCAGGGGGAACAGCAGGGCCAAAGAGTTGGATATAGGGAAAAGCTCTGTTGAGAACCCTTGGAAGACCAGCCAGGGCCTAGTTTTGGAGACTTTGCTTGAGATGGCAATTAAGAGACAGAATTCTGCTGCAGGGCCTCGGGGAAGACAACCAGCGCAGCTTCCAGGCCCTATACACAGCCAACCAGATTGTGAATGTTTGTGACCCTGCCCAGCCCGAAACCTTCCTGATGGCCCAGGATCTGGCCTCCAAGTTCTTTGGCCAACGTGGAGGTGAAAGCCAACATACTATCCATGCCATGGGGCACTGCCACATTGATACAGGTAGGGGGGTGGGCATCTACCTGGGTTGGCTGGAGGGAGGCAGGAGTGACCTTGAAGCCCTGCCTGTGCCCTGGAAGCAGTGTAATCCTCAGCAGGTTCTTGCCCCTCTTGGGCCTCAGTCATCTCCATTTATAAAAGGGGGCAAGGGAACTAGACTCTGGGCTTTGCTAGGTGTAGCTTCATTTATTCTTTCAACAAAATCTGATGCCCCGTGTGAACCCATGCTAGATACTGAAGGGTAGGGTTATAGAGACTGATGATCACAAAATAGACACAGTTGGGACCAAGAGAGGGGAAATATAGGGGTGCTGGAGAGCCCAGAAGAAGCACTTAACCCAGCTGGGTTGAGGGAATTCAAGAGAGGCTTTGTGGAGGGGTGACTGAGCTGAGTAAGAATGAGTGAGTTTGACAGGGTGTTCAAGTCGTAAGAGGTGGAGGAGTGATGTGGCAGTAATAGGGATGGGGGCTAATGCACAGGGGAAGTTTTCTGAGGAGGGTTAGAGGTTCCATTCTGAACCTGATGAGTGTGCATTGTCTGTGAGGCTTATAGGAAATCCACATTTTTTCTAACAAGCTCCCCAAGCTGTTAATTCTGATGCAGCTCAAGTTTCTGGACCACAGAATAAGGGCTTTCTTTGCTGTGCCAAGGCGTGGGGTGGAGAGTGGGGGCTCTGGGTTGGTAAGGAAGGACAGGCTATAGTGCTTTGTGTAGGATGGCTGACCAGGCAAGGTCCATCTTGGGGAGCTGTGCCCTCTGTTCTGAGATATCCATCAGTGTGTGTTACTGAAAGGGTTAACTCTTGCTGCTGCTTATAGGATCCTTTCTGAGGGTGTCTAAACCTCAAGGGTGAGGCTATTTCAGGGTCTGGGACTTCTATTTTCTGACCTGTAAAACTGACTAGGTAGCCCTGGTGGCCTCTCTGTCCCACCCCCTACTCCCACCTAGCAGGAGTGGTTTGAAGTGGTAGCTCAGGAGGGGTGCCACAGGGCTTTGCAGGGAATGGGGCCTGGAATGAGAGGAGGGCCAGGAAGACCCTAGAGGCCCAGGCTGGGCCTGGTCAGGGTGCTGGGGGACAGGGGTGAGTCTGGAGGTCTGTGTGGAGCTGGGGACCTTGCTGCTTTCCCTCCACTCTCTGTGCCCCTCTCCATCTAGCCTGGCTTTGGCCCTTCAAAGAGACAGTGCGGAAATGTGCCCGGAGCTGGGTAACAGCTGTGCAGCTCATGGAACGGAACCCCGAGTTCATCTTTGTCTGCTCCCAGGTCAGAGGGACAGCCATATGGGGACACCAGATGCCCAACAGATCCAAGAGTGAGGTTCTGAGGGCCTCCCCAGCCTGAGGGGCAGGGCTCTTCCCCACCCTCAGCTGCCCACTGTGCCCCAGATACTTGGCCCTGAGCGGGGTTCTTGTCACGCCTGGGGCAACTTCTGCCCCATCTGCCTCACAGGCGCAGCAGCTGGAGTGGGTAAAGAACCAGTACCCTGGCCTGTATTCCCGGCTCCAGGAGTTTGCCTGCCGTGGGCAGTTTGTGCCCGTGGGGGGCACCTGGGTGGAAATGGTAAGTGCAGTCTGCACATCCTCAGCCTAGGGCCACTCTGTCATGGGCTTCCCTCTTCGGCTTTCTACAGGCCCTTCACAACCCCTCTGTTGCAGTGCTTATTAGTCCTTGGAATGTCAAGGCCTGGGACCCGCAAGGGGGAGGAGAGTCTCAAGCAGTGACAGGTTGTCTGCATGACCCAGCCCAGAAGCTCCCCTCCAGCAGATAAAGTTGGGTCTAAAGCCAGAAGAGAGACACTTCCTGGTTGCTAGCCATAACCCCTGGGTCAGAGCTATGGCTTCTCCTGAGGGGTGGGGTTGGCCCGAGCCTCTTCCCCATCTGGTGCTGACATTGGCCGACTCCTTCTTCCCTCACTGCCAGGATGGGAACCTCCCCAGTGGAGAGGCCATGGTGAGGCAGTTTCTACAGGGCCAGAACTTCTTCCTGCAGGAGTTTGGGAAGATGTGCTCAGAGGTAGGCTGGGAGCTGCTACACCTTCAGGCAGATAGGGTGGAGCTTGACCTGGAGAGATGAGGGGCTGAGACTGGGGCTGTTCTGCCAAGAGTCCTGGTTCCTGTGCCTTAGAGGCCCTTTTCCTGCAGTTCTGGCTACCAGACTCGTTTGGCTACTCAGCACAGCTTCCCCAGATTATGTGCAACTGTGGCATCAGGCACTTCCTGACCCAAAAACTGAGCTGGAACTTGGTGAACTCATTTCCGGTGAGCAGACCCCAGGGGCTCATGTTAGAGTGGGCCTGGGTCCCTCCTGGACAGATTACCCGGCCCCACCCAGATAGAGGGGTTGCCTCCTCCAGGGTCACACAAGGGGCAGGGCAGGACTAGAAGGTCCAACTCTGCCTCAGCCCTGACACTAGCCTCTCTCTCTTCTGCCTGTCTGCCCGCAGCACCATACTTTTTTCTGGGAAGGTCTAGATGGCTCCTGTGTGCTGGCCCACTTCCCACCTGGTGACTCATATGGTATGGAAGGCAGTGTGGAGGAGGTGAGAGGACACCTAGTGGCCAAGGTGGGGGCAGGGAGGTAGGAGAGGGCTGTGTCCTGTCTTAGACTGAACCATGCTGACCTGCTTCTGTCTGTCCAGGTGCTAAAGACTGTGGCCAAAAACCGGGACAAAGGGCGGACCAACCACAGTGCCTTCCTCTTCGGCTTTGGGGATGGGGGCGGTGGTCCCACCCAGACCATGGTGGACCGCTTGAAGCGGCTGTGCAATACAGATGGGCTGCCCAGGTCAGGCCTGGCCCACTGGCAGCCCTCACTGAGCTGCTCATTTAGCCCTTGCTTGAAGTCCTTTCTGCGCAAACATTTGGCCCAACCCCTCCACTGGGCCTGTTTTGCTCCAATCCTGGTCCATGGGCTCCTCCCAACTTCTATTTTGGGGGTGAGGTGGGAGAAATCTGAAGATGGGAAGGGGCTTAAACTCACCAGAGACAGAGAACTCTCCTAGGGTTTCCAGAGCTAGTTTTATGTAGACAGGGCGCATTCTAGGGGTGGCTTCTTTCTTTGGGGGCTAGATCTCTTGTCTGCTCTGGAATGGATGAAGGGTGAGCCATCCCCCCCCCCCCCCCGAGCTGGGAGACCCAAACTTGCAGTCTTCCTCAGGGTGCAGTTGTCTTCTCCTGGGCAACTCTTCTCGGCGTTGGAGAGCGACTCGGGGCAGCTGTGCACATGGGTCGGGGAGCTCTTCCTGGAGCTGCATAATGGCACCTACACTACTCATGCCCAGGTCAGGAGATAGTCACTCAGCAGAGCAGGGAAAGTATGCCCTTGATCTGTAGAGGGTCAGTGAAGGAGACAGGACAGAACCCACCCAGGTCTGTGGGATGAGGCTTTTTTTTTTATCCTCACCCAAGGACATTTTTCCAGTTTTTGTTCAGGTAGAGTGGGAGGGAGAGAGAGGAACAGAGAGAGAAACATTGATGTGAAAGGAACACATCGAGTGGCTGCCACCCGCACGACCGACCAGGGCCAGGGACAAACTGCAACCGAGGTATGTGCCCTTAGCGGGAACCAAACCCGGGTCTCTCTGGACCGCAGGCCGACGCTCCAACTGCTGAGCCAAACCGGCCAGGGCAGGAGGCTTGTTCTTTACGGAGCTGAGAGAAGTGCAAGAGTCAGGTGGGTCAGGAGCCTGGAGGAGGCTTGAGCTGAGGGAGGTGGGTATTTAGGGACATGTCACCCACAAGAGGCATTATCTGGGAGGCCCTGAGGAGCCACCAGGGGGGTTCTAAGCCAGGGAGGGCTTTGGAAGGTCTTCTGGGATGCTTGAACAGACTTTAGATTCACCCTCCTCGCTGGCTTGGACTCAGATCAAGAAGGGGAATCGGGAGTGTGAGCGCATCTTGCATGACGTGGAGCTGCTCAGCAGTCTGGCCCTGGTCCGAAGTGCCCAGTTTCTATACCCAGCAGCCCAGCTGCAGGACCTCTGGAGGTCAGCCTGGCTCTGCCCCCTGTCACCCACCTGACTTCACCCGACACCTCTGTGGCTGCCCCTCCCAGCCTTCATTCTTTCCACCCTTCTGGCCTTCCCCATCCCTGGCCCTTGGTCCCTGTAGGCTCCTGCTCCTGAATCAGTTCCATGATGTGGTGACTGGAAGCTGCATTCAGCTGGTGGCAGAGGAAGCCATGTGCCACTATGAAGGTTAGGCTGAGAACATTTCCGCTGCTGTCTTCAACACCCAGGGCTGAGCCCAGAGTGTCACCTGTGGGACTCTCAGGTCATCCCAGACCCATTGCCCACTCGTGAGCAATCAGTTTCTCCTCAGACATTCGTTCCCATGGCAACACACTACTCAACACTGCAGCTGCAGCCCTGTGTGCTGGGGAGCCAGGTCCTGAGGGCCTTCTCATTGTCAACACACTTCCTTGGAAGCGCACTGAAGTGTTGGCCCTGCCCAGGCCTGGCGGGACCCACAGCCTAGGTATGAGCTGGGGAGAGGGGTTGCTACTGCAACAGGAGGGATGGAGGCCAGACCAAGAGCTGGGGTCACTGCCCTGGGGATCTCTGCCCTGGGGTGCTCCAGACTGAAGAGTAGCTATAGTAGTATATCCTGTGTGCGCGGCCACCCCACCCCACCCCTTGCTCCCCTGTCATCCCTCCTGGAAGTTCCGGGAGGCTGCACTGATGCCCAGGCCTCATCCCCAGCCCTGGTGACAGTGCCCAGCATGGGTTATGCTCCTGCTCCTGCCCTAACCTCACTGCAGCTCCTGCTTCCCCAGCAGCCTGTGTTTGTTGTGCGAGAGGTGAGTGCTGGCATGTCCAGGTTGGGCAGAACTGTCCTGGAACATCCTTAACAACATGGGGGTTCTCAGCTCCCCAGACTTGTGCAAGTGGTGAGGCAGGGCTGGGGGGGGGTGCGGGGGGAGGCTATTGGTTGTGGGAAGCCCCTACCAACTCAGTTTCAAGGCCCCTTTCTGCCAAGACTGATGGTTCTGTGACTCTGGACAACGGTATCATCCGGGTGAAGCTTGACCCGACAGGCCGCCTGACATCCCTGGTGCTGGTGGCCTCTGACAGGTGCCAGCCCCTTACTGTTCTCTCCCAGTATCTGACAGGAGGATCCCAGACTCTGTTCCCTCTGTCCCCTGGCCACAGACAGCACTGTGCCCAGCAGCCCACCAGTGGCCCTGGGCTGGGACCCACTCATGTAGCAGGGCAGGCTGGGCTGGAGAGACCCCTGTTCCCTGGGCCTACTTACCCTGCCCCCACCCCACCTTGAGCATCTGGAGAGACCAAGGTCATACAGTTGTAAAGCACCAATCCCCATCTCCTTCCAGGGAGGCTATTGCTGAGGGTGCTGTAGGAAACCAGTTTGTGCTGTTTGATGATGTCCCCCTGTACTGGGATGCGTGGGACGTCATGGATTACCATCTGGAGACAAGGTGCGGGTGGGAAGGTTTGGGTAGGAATGAGCATACAGGCCTATGAGGCCCCTCCGTCAGCTGGCCCTGTCTCAGCGCCTCCCACCCCTACCCCCCAGGAAGCCAGTGCTGGGCCAGGCAGGGACCCTGGCAGTAGGCACTGAGGGCGGTGTGCGGGGCAGCGCTTGGTTCCTGCTGCAGATCAGCCCCAACAGTCGGCTCAGCCAGGAGGTTGTACTGGACGTCGGCTGCCCCTATGTCCGATTCCATACTGAGGTAGCAGGGAGTAGGGTGGTGGCTGTCTTCCCTAGGTGTGGCTAGTAAGAAAGGGCCACCCCAAGGCCTGTCTCCCCCCCACACACACACAAACCCCTTTCCCTTCACCCCAGGTACACTGGCACGAAGACCACAAGTTCCTGAAGGTGGAGTTCCCTGCCCGTGTTCGGAGCCCTCAGGCTACCTATGAGGTTCAGTTCGGGCACCTGCAGCGGCCTACCCATCAAAACACCTCTTGGGACTGGGCTCGATTTGAGGTCTGACATGGGTGGGGTGGGAGGTTTGGGTTCTCCCTGGGTGGGGAGAGACTATTTGTATAGAATGGGGTGGGGTGAAGAGGAGGAGCAATGTTTGCTGGTTTCTAACATGTGTGCCAAGCAGTGTGCTAAATGCTTTATGTTTAGTTTGTTACTCGTGCCCATTTGCTGGGCTAAGTACTGTTCTTCCCATTTCACAGATGAGGAACTGAAGCATAGACAATTTGGGTGGTGTGTCAGGGCCTCCTATTGTGAGAGCTGGAACTCAATCCTGGGGTTCCGGAGCTTGCCTTCACTTTAGTGAGGGGAGTAAAAGGAGGTGACAGGGCCACCAGGTGGGTCTGGGATGTGCTCTCCAGGTATGGGCCCACCGCTGGATGGACCTGTCGGAGCACGGCTTTGGGCTGGCCCTGCTCAATGACTGCAAGTACGGGGCATCGGTTCGGGGCAGCGTCCTCAGTCTCTCACTGTGAGTGGTGTGCCAGCCAGGCCTGGGGCCAGCAGAGGGGTGTGGGTCTTCCCGGGCGAAAACTACAGCCTGGCCTATTCCCTCCTTTCCCGAAGCTTGCGGGCACCTAAGGCCCCCGATGCCACTGCTGACATGGGGCGCCACGAGTTTACATATGCGTTGATGCCACACAAAGGTGAGTGCTACCTTGCCCCTTCTCTTCAAACCTCGGTTTTTCCAAGTCAGTGGGGAAAACTGCTGCCCTATGCCCCTATCTCCTTTTGCACCACTCGCCCCTTTCCGGCCTCTGCCCAGGCTCTTTCCAGGACGCCGGTGTTATCCAAGCAGCCTACAGCCTCAATTTCCCACTGTTGGTTCTGCCCACCCCAGGCCAGGTGCCCATGGCTACCTGGAGTGCCTTCTCTGTGTCCTCCCCAGCTGTGGTGCTGGAGACCGTCAAGCAGGCAAGGAGTGGGGTGGCGTGGGTCTGGGTGGGGTCCGCCCTTGGCCCTGCCCACCGCCCACTTCCCTCTTCAGGCGGAGAGCACCCCCCAGGGCCGCACACTGGTGCTCAGGCTGTACGAGGCCCATGGCAGCCACGTAGACTGTTGGCTGCGCACGTCACTTCCAGTTCAGGAGGCTGTCCTGTGAGTAGGGTGCAGGGTGAGGGTGGGAGCCCTAACCTCGCGGGATCCTCATGGCCCCTCCTGTTCTACAGCTGTGACCTCCTAGAGCGTCGAGACCCTGCTGGCCATCTGCCCTTTAGGGACGCCCGCCTGAAGCTCACCTTTTCTCCCTTCCAAGTGCAGTCTCTGTTGGTCGTGCTGCAAGCCCCACTGAATTGAGATCTTGAGTATGGGGATTGTTTGGGGAAGGCCTTGGGGGCTACCTTCCTGGCCCAAAGCAAGGATGAGTCACCTCTTGAACAATAAAATCTTGGTTCAGGAACCCTGCTGGTATCTCCTACTGTCTCCCCTTAGGGCCCCACCCTTTGAGGGAAGAAAGCTTTTTCCCGGGCATTTGGGGGCAGGGGCAAAATCTAAAGTGATCCTGTATGTGCAGCAGGGTCTGGAATGCAGCCCCCATGAAAGAATGGGGATATGATCACAAGAGAGATAAGGAGGTCCTTCCCTGTGTCAGCAGGCAGAGGACCTGGGTCTGGGTGGGTTCCAGCTGGTGAAAGGGAGTACTGACTAGTCTGGGCCAGGTTAGGGAGCAAACCACAGGCCCTGAGGAATCCTGGACTGGAGGAGCTGTGGAGCCTGGGCTGCCTGGGGCCAGTATTTCTGCTCCACTTCTGAGGGGCTGTCCCTGCAAAATCAGATGATCATCCTCTGAGAGCCAGGGTCTTGAGGACTGGGATGGGGCTCAGTTTGCCTTGCTGAGGAGGTGGCCTCTTACACTCAGGGCCAGGCAACAGGCTTGCTAATATGGCCATCCTAGACTTTCTGTAGCCAGCCCAGAAGTTTATTAATTTATATTTTTAAAAATACAGCATTTTTCACATGGGATTTAAAAATGGGTACAATTAAAAACACCCTACTTTTGTAGGGAACAGCCACAGGCATCTAGCCTCCTTCACCTACTGCCTGCTTCTAGGAAGCCACACAGACACCCAGATCCAGGGTAAGGCAGTGGGAAGGGGTAGATGCAAGCAAGGAGATCCTCCTGCTAGGAGGCTGAGGTCTCCTCAGGCTCCAGAGGTGGGGTATCAGTCTTGATCTTTTGAGGTCTGCAGCAGCCTGGAGGGAAGACAGGTGAGATGGACCCCAGGTTGAGGACTGCCCTGACAACCTTCCTCCAGCCTTTGTCCACATGGAACTCCTGCCCATGCTGCCATTCATTTCTTCAGGAAAGCCCCTTTTGGTGGTGCCCCTTCCATCTCAGAGGATGATGCTGAGGAAGGCCCACCTGAGTTTGCCCATTGCCTCCTCCTCTTCCCTTTCTCAGTGACTCGGGGGACTTTTGGATCCTGTTGGAAGCTGGTCCCCTCAGGCTGCTGGGCTGCTCTTTGCTCAGGAAGGCCTTTCCATGCCATTCTTGTCAGTGAAGAGGTCTTGCTTGGGGGTGGAGTGTCCTGGGTAGAGGAGAGACATGTTCCTGAGGTGCTCAAGAGCAGTTCAGAGGTTGGTTAGAACCCAGCATTGCCCTCGTTGTCCACAGAAGGCAGCTATTCACAAGCCAGGCTTGGGAGGTGCAGCCAGGGTAGGGGAGAGTGCAGGGAGGAGTCAGGAGCAGGGAGCCATACCTCCATTCTCTCCTCAGGACCCCGCTGTGTTCCCTTGGATTTCTTCTGATGGGACTTGCCTCCTGAAGAATACTGATGCTGGGGTTGTGAGGTCCTATGGCCATGGGCCCTTTCTCCAGACTCCTGCTCTTCCACTCTGGGCTGACTCCCAGGGGTGGAGTGGGGACCGGGGACGGATGTAACCCTTGCTGCCAACTCGTCCTTTCTGCTCTTAGTTTAGTATATTAGGAGTACCTTACCTTTGGGTGCCAGAGGTCCAGGATCCCCCTAAAATGGTACAGGGAGAATTCAGGAATAAGCCTGGTTGGGGCAGGGGTTGTTTTTCCTTGGGAAGGCAGGACTCACACCTATCTTTCCAGATTAGTGTAGTTTCTCCCCTAGGAAGCCTCTCTTACTGTCCATTCCCTGCCAGGTCAGAGCCAACATCAAGGCCACCCTGCCTTGGGCTGCTCTACTAGCTGGGACCCTGGGACTCAGAGGAGGGGAGGGGCATAGCATAGGGAAGGCTTAGACCTTCAGGAACAGTGTGACACTGGGAGGCCTAGATAGAGACCCCATCTCCTGTCTGGCTGTGATCCCAGGGCTCTACCACACCCATGTCTTTGATATCTGTTTGCCCTCGTGAGCATTAGGGCCCGAACCTGGAACCAGATGGTGCGGCCGTGCCGGTCCCGCAGGGAGCTCATGCCCACCATGCCATAGCACTGTAGCCAGGCTCGAAAGGCTGCAAAGTCCTCCTCGCCGCTCTCTTGCCCGTAGCCTTTGCCCCCTGTGGACAGAGGAGCCAGGCAGAGGTCAGAGGGCAGAGTTAGGCTGGGAGGTGGGAAAGCCTGGTGGGCCGAGTCAGGGGCCAAGGCTCTCCCTTGTCCAGCTGTGTGACCTCCGGCTGGTGTCTTCCCCTCTTTGGGCCATGGCTTGCCCATCCTGGAGTGGAGTTAATAATCATTGCCCTGCCTGCCTCATAAGCAGCCTGGAGGACAGACAGATGCCTGACAAGTGAGGAGGCCCCGTCCATTTAGCAACAACTAGGTTTACAAACTTCCATTCCCCAGGCAGGGAACCAGGCCCAGATATGGGTAGCAACTGTCCCGGGGTTATTCGATATGCCAGTGCAGAGGTAGTTGGCTATCTTTTCCTCCCAGGCCTCACCCAGCTGGACCACTTCCTTGGGCACTGAGTGGCACAGCTCCAGCAGGTCTGGGTTCTGCAGCTTGGCTTTGATCTTCTGGCTCAAGGTCAGCTCTGGGCTCTGGAGAAGGGGCATGGACAGGGCCTGGCTGTCAGCGTGAGGCAGCTGACCCCACCAGGAGCAGACCTCTGAGCTTGACAGGACTCAGAGATAGTTCATCCACCTCCTCCCCAATGCACACACACACACTAGAGAGAAGGAAAAACTAAGGACCTGCTTGGGTTACGCTGGACCTAGCCCATACCCTGTCAGCCCTTGCTGGTAGGTGTGTGTGCCTTCCACCCCCGTGCTCTCACCGGCCTGTGCTGCTTCAGCGCCTCCAGAACATTGCGGGCCTTCTCGAAGGGAGGTATCCTCAGCCTGCGATGGGATAGAAAGAGGGAGCCATGCTAAGCAGTGGGGAATGTGGGCATCCAGCCTACCTCAGCCCTGCCTGCTGACCTGTATAGAATCTCTGCCCGCAGATAGTTGCCAATGCCATTGAAGAACCTCTGGTCCAGGAGGGCCTCGCAGATGGGCCGGTCAAAGACCTTGTCTGCTAGGTTTCGTAACACATTTTTCCTGGAGGGACACAATTTGGCACATGAGACCCATTCTGTCCTTTAACCCCCACACCTTGCCATGTGATGGGAGAGAGGAGCTGGGAGAACCTGTTCCTAGGTGCAAGGGGAATGAAATTGGGAGTCCCAGTTCCCCTTTTCCAAGCCTCAGTGCTATTTTGGCAGTGGGGAACTTCAGTTTTCCTGTCTGTTAAATGAGAACAATAAGGGATTTTTATCATTACACAAGGTGAAAAATTCCAGTCAAAAGCAGTGAGTTCAAGGGGACACACAAGAGTCTCTCTGTATCTGTTGTGTGTATGCCACCAGAGTATCTTAGACTCCAGACATTTTTGAGAGCAAGGTGATCACAGAACCTCAGATGTGCCTGCAGTCTGGAGCCCCTGTCTAGGAATTTTGGATGGTTAGATAAGAAGAGTTGACATTGACGACCCAATTCTTCTCAAGACCTAAAGATTTTAAGGAGGTTGGTACTAGCTCTGTGCAGCAGGTGTATGTGGGCATGTCCTAGCTAGTGAGAGCCCCAGCAGCCCTACCCCATCTCCAAGGGCTATGGATCTCTCCTCACCACTGTGAAGAGGAAATACATCTTGTTTGTGGAAAAGGGTCATGGCAAGACTGATTCAGTGCTGGGCTGAGAAGCATATGAAATAGGGGACCAAGAGGCAGAGTTTTGGGGTAAAGGTAAGTGGAAAGTTAGCCTGGGTGACCAGCACCTTGAGGGGAGCAGAACCCCACAGTCTCTCCAGCTATAGGACCAAGAAAACAACTGAGATGCTCATTGTGTGAGAGAAACTTCAGAGTCAGCTGGCAAAGAGTTAACCTGTGGCATGACTGACTCCCCAGGAGAGGTGAGGAGGAGGAATCCAAGACCACAGATGTTTCCCTGGGGGTGCACTTGGGGTCATGCCTGGGAAGGCCAGGAGTCAACTGTCTTCTGTGGTGCCAGACATGCCCTGACCCACTCCAATGGGCAGCTAAGTCTCCTAAGGGTCAAACGAAGGTGGGCCGTTCCTGAAGAAGGGAGGACCCACCGAATGCGTTCCAGGCCTTTGTGTCTGTGATTCTGGTCAATATGAATACTTCTCTAGAGCTTTGCATGCCTGGCTCTCAAGTAGGTTACCTCCTAGAGTGCCTTTTACTAATGCCCACCCCCAGCCCCCTGGCCAAAAGTCATTCTCTCCCTCTTGGATTTTCAAGAATGTGTCTATTTTGTTTCTTTGTCCCTTCTGCCCTGCCTGAATTTCAGCTCTGTGGGAGCAGGGATCACATCCATCTTGATCACTGCTGTACCCCCAACACCTACAATAGGGCCTGGCACAAAGCAGAGACTCATATAAATTTTCATTTTAGAGAAAGGGAAGAAGCTGACACTGCCATCTGATGTGGCCTAAGACCATGGGACACAGACCAATGGGCAGGCAGAATGTGGGAGACCATAAAACCTGACTCAAGAAACCATGTCATTAGGCAGTTCCTTCCCCACCACCTTGAAACATTTCCTTCCTGCTCAGCCTCCCTTTTATGTTGTTAAAACCCCCCACCTTTCTTCTTAGCCTCCTGAGGGTACCAAGTACTGTGGGGGCTGATCTAACCTCAGCTCTCACAGTAACTGGTTATGTCCTCAGAGCATGCCTACCTATTCACCTCTTGCCCCCACCTCTTCCCATATCAGTTTTGGGTTTTCATACCCATTAGCTCAGGGAGCTGTCCCCAGGAACTACTCTGTCTTGGTCTACAGAGGAAGGGACAGAGGCTCAGAAGGGGCTGGGACTTGCCCCTCATTGGCCGACAAGGCACTCACAGAGCCAGGCCCAGAGCCCACAGTTGTGCTCATCATACATGTGGCTGGGCCTACCTACCTGAATTGTTCATACTCCAGCAAGACGCATGGCCCACGGCCTGGCTGCCACTCGCCCCCAAGGTCCCAGTGGCCAAAGCGCCTGATGTCCACAAAGCAGAGGGCGAGTTGGGGACCAGGATGAGCTGTGTAAAAACGCAAATGGGCATGTGGTGGTAGCGCATCGCTGGGTGCCAGCTGGAAGGAGCCAGACATGCCAAAGTGGAAGATGAGGGCCAGTGGTTCTCGTGGGGGCTGGGCTCCAGGCAGGGGGCTCAGTGTCAAGCGAAGCTCCTTGCCACGGGCTGAGGCTGAGATATAGTAGGCACTGCTCTCAAAGGGTACCTCTGGGTTGCGGCTGACTGGTGACTTCTCCACATGCCCACCAAACACCAGCCCCCTGCATGCCTGGTTCACAAAGTGGCTGGCCAGATGCAGCTCTGGGCCCTCAGGCATTCTGTGCCAGGAAAGGGCAGGCCCTGTGGGAGTAGGATGACTGCAAGTTAGATCAGGTGTGCACATTGTGAGGTAGGATTTATCACCACCATTTTACAGAGGGAGGATCCTGAGGATCAGAGGGGACCATGACAGCTGGGTTTGGCAGAAAATTCTGCTGGCCTGGCCACAGCTCTGGCTGGGTCCCTACCTGAAAATGCTGGAAAAGCCCAGGGCACTGGGGGACTCAGGCTTGGAAAGCATGAGTGCCTTGTTAACACCTTGGACAATGGGCTTCCATGAACTCTTGCTGCTTTTAGAATAAAGTCCAGATCCTTGCTGGGCCCACGCTTTCATCTCATTTCTTCCCAAGCTCCCCATCACTCGCTTGCTCGAAGCCCACTGCTCTTCCTATCCCCAAGCCTTTGCCCTCGTAATCCCCTCAGTCTGGGACCTCTTGAGCCGCCCTCCCTGACCACCCTTCCAAAGTAGTCTCCCTCCAGACACACATTTTCTTTTCTTCGTGGCACTCCCAAATCTGAAACTGTCTTATTGTCTGTTGTCTGCCACTACCTCCACTTCCTCTCCAGTGGAAGCTCAGCTTCTTCACCACCCCAACGCTCAGAACCGATCTCACTTGTTGCCACGATCGCTAAGGGGATGAGCCTGGCCCGACCGGGGATTTGGGAGCTGGAAAAACGAATGCTCAGAGGTTCAGCTGGCAGTGAGGACCGGAGCAAGGACAGGAGAGGATGCAGGTATCTAGGTAGTCTAGGCCAGGAATGTCTTCCCGAGCTCCAGGCCAACGTCCAGGACAGAACACGACACGCCCAGGTCAGCGCTCAGGTCGTAGGGGAACCCACTCCACCTCTTTTCCCTACACCTGGCGGAGGAAGGGAGCTTGCCGCTCCCCTCTCCCCCGAGATGCGGCGGGATCGAAGGCGCAGGTGTGGTCAGGCCGAGGGGACGTTTCAGCCAGGGCAGACGCCTCTCCCCTCCCCCACCCTCGCGCCGTCCGGGACCTGGTACCGAAAAGGCTTCGCTCTGAGGGGAAATGAAGGTGAAGATTCCTGATTTTACTACGGGCGAGCACTCGATGGCCGGTTCCCCCAATCCTCACCACTCATCCCCCGCTACCTGTCCTCAGCACACCCTAGCTCCCTTCCTCCTCAAGGCTGCCAAATCCCATCCTCTCTTCAGCCTGCGGTACACACCCTGGAGCCCGTCCGGCTCCCCGGGGTACTTGCGCGCCTCGCCCTTCTGGCCAACCTGCAACCACTAAGGGGTTAAAGTCACGGGCAGAGCCGCGCTGAACCAAGAGCAAGCCGGGACCTGTGGTTGCTGCTCCAGCGCCCTCTGGGAAATGTAGTTCCTCGGGCGGGGGCCCAGGCCTTGGGTTGGGGACGCTGAACTAGGGTGTCTGGGATATGGGGAAGGCTTTGGGGCGGTCACCTGGGGTGTTAGGGTGGCGCCCGCGGGATCCGGGGTCAGGTTCCAGGTCCCGCGTCGCAGCTGTCTCTGTGGCCGGGGAAGTCGCCAGGCTAGTGACAGGGTCGGTACTCCCAGCCTGAAACAACCACCATGTCCCAAAGCAGAGGCTCCTGCCAGATGTACGCAAAGAGAGAGCAGGTGCGCGATAAAGGCAGGCCCTGGGGACCCTGTGGTGGCCCTAAGTATCAACGCACAGTCACACATAACTTAGAAACATCATTACCCCCTGCGGGTGAGAAGTGCAGCCAAGCAACAAAAAACAGGCAAGAAGCAGAAGCCACATCAGATGGTTCTGTGGGGGGTCTCTGCAGTGACATCTAGGCTGAGACCTCAGACTAGCCAACAAAGTGGGAACAAGACACATCCTAGGGGGAATCGGAGCCATAAGACCATGGCTGTGGGCAAGAGCAGCAAGATACTGAATGCAACACATTGACTACAGGATGAGGTACACCTGCAAGATGGTTCTATCTTCATTGGCACCTTCAAGGCTTTCAGCAAGCATATGAATTTGATCCAATGTGATTGCAATGAATTCAAGAAGATCAAGCTAAAGAACTCAAGCAGAAAGAGAAGTGAGTCCTTGATCTGGAGCAGCTTCAAGGGAAGAACCTGGTCTCAATGACAGTAGAGGGACCTTCTCCCAAAGATACTGGCATTGCCCTAGTGCCACTTGCTGGAGCTGCTGGGGACCCAGAGATCCATAGGACTGCTGGCAGAGGAACCCTAACTGGTGTCCCCACGCCTCTGCACGACTTGTTAGGCCAGTCCATGGAGTTGGTGGGCCATACCAACTCTGCAAGTAAGAGGCACTGTTGCAGCTGCTGCCACTGCCAGTGTTTCAGGGAGCCCACCTCAGTATATACCTGCCCATGGGGTTCCCCCCCACCTATGGGCCAAGGGGCACCCCTCAGGCATGATGGTTCCATCTCCTGGTATGTGGCCCCCAATGGGTATCCCCCCTGGAGGAGGAACTTCAATGGGCACGTACCCTCCAGGAATGCAGCCCTTTCCCCCAGGGATGTGAGGACTTTTTGACCCTTGGCCAGAGAGTAATGGAAGTAGCTCCACAGAGGCATAGGCCCAGTTCCCCAAGGCCATGTTGGTCACAGACCTGTTTGTTACGCTGTTGGAATTTCACCAGATTGTTTACTTGCCCTTCAGGGCCCCTTCCCCAGAGAATGTGCCCACCAAGGCCCTAGACTCATCTTGGCCCTCCTCAGCTCTGTTTCCCAAAAGATTGTACACAGTCCTTTTACTTCCTCGTGGCCTGTGAGACAAATTTATGATAAACTTTTAATAACTTTTAATAAAATTTATAATAAACTTTATTTTTTACAAAATAAAGACAACATGCCAGTTGGAAGGAATGACCAGTACAAAGGCCTGGAGGAAGAAAAGTAATTGGCTCATTGAAAGAAGGCCTGTGTGTCTGCCCTGGCTGGTTTGGCTCAGCGGTTAGAGCGTCGGCCCACGGACCAGAGAGACCAGGGTTTCGTCCCGCTAAGGGCACGTACCTCAGTTGCAGTTTGTCCCCGGCCCCGGTTGGGTGGCAACCACTCGGTGTGTCTCTCTCATGTCGATGTTTCTCTCTCTTTCTCCCTCTCTCCCTCCACTTCTATCTGAAGATAAATGCAAAAATCTCCTTGGGTGAGGATAAAATAAAAAGAAGAAAGAAAGAGGGCCTGTGTGGCTGAAGTGTAACAGAGAGTGCTGGGAGGTGAGGACAGACAGAAGCAAATTCAGGTCAGGTCAGGCCTCAGGAGGCCTCTGTAAGTAGTTCTCATTTCATCCTAAGTGTGCCTGACCCATAGTCATGATTTGCCTTCTTCATACTAGGACTTCTGCCTCGTCCTTTCATCTATTAATTCATTTATTTTGGCAGAAGTATTTTAAAGTAAATTAGACAAATTACGACATTTCACCCCTAATACTTCAGCATGCATCTCTTAAAAGCAATTTCCTACAAAGCCACAATACATTTTTATCCAGTGATTTTCAACCCTTTTCATCTCATGGCACACATAACTGTCTACTTAAATTCTTCAGCACACCAAAAAATGTATTTTTGCCAATCTGACCGAAATATAGGTATAATTTTGAGTCATTCACATTGGATTGTTGTCATTTTTAAATTTTTATCCTCACTGGAGGACATTTTTTTTTTTTTTTTTTTTTTTTTTGCATTTATCTTCAGAGCGAGAGGAAGAGAGAGACACACACACATTGACTGGTCGCCACCCGCACAACCCTAACCAGGGCCGGGGACAAACTGCAACCGAGGTACATGCCCTTAGTGGGAACCAAACCCGGGTCTCTCTGGTCCGCAGGCAGACACTCTAACCTGAATCAAACTGGCCAGGGCTGTTGTCATTTTTTAATTTGACAACCTAGGGGAAAAGAGGTCAGTGCCTCTGACTAAATAGGTATTGCATGCTTTAAAAATTCTTGCAGCATGCCAGTGTGTTGTGGCACATTGGCTGAATATCTCTGCCTTTATCGTATGTAATAAAATTAACTATGACTTCTTAATATCATCTAAAACCTAGTCACATTCAGATTTCCCTAACTGCTTCCAAAATGTCTTTTACAGCTGTTTGTTCAATCCAATCAAGGATCATATCTTTTTCTTTTTCTGTTTCCGTAAAGACAGTAAAAAATTGCCAGTGCTGACTATATTTCAAGTCATCATGGCAGAGTATTGGGAAAAGTTTTCAATTAGCAATAATTGTGCCTTGGATAACCCTTATTGGCCGTGATACTGCCACTGTGCAAAACTGGGGATATATGTCTGTTTATAATCATTTTTAATCTAGATGGGATCACCTTCCCAACCCCCATCTTCATTTCCATGATCCTGATCTTTCTGACAAGCCCAGGCCAGTTGTCCTTTGAGATGCCCCATCACATTCTGGATTCGTTTGAATGGCTCCTTAGACATCATTAACTTGTGCCTCTTTCAAGTTTTTCCTGCACACTTGGAATCAGATCTAAAGGCTTGGCTACATATATTATTTTAAAAAAAAAAATTTTTTTTTTAATTGATTTGAGAGAGAGAGGAAGGGAGAGAGAGAGAGAGAGAGAGAGAGAGAGAGAGAGAGAGAAACATTGATGAGAGAGAACTTCGATTGGCTGCCTCCTGCATGCCCCACACTGGGGATCGGGCCCACAGTCTGGGCATGTGCCTGACTGGGAATTGAACTGGCGACCTCCTGGTGCATGGGTCAACGCTCATCCACTGAGCCACACCAACTGGGCTGGCTACATATATTCAAGGACACCTCCTAGATGGTGCTCTGTACTGCAAACTACATCATGTCAAGAGTAGAAGGTAGCCAATATCTGGTTGTCATACTTTAGTGAGGCTGCAATTGCTGTGACAGCCAGACCTTTGTATTGTGGTTATGTTTTACACCTTCTGACCACTAAGTAATCTACGGAAGGGATTTCCTTTTTTTTTTTTAAACTCTTTTTTTATTATTGAATGTATTACAAATATCTCCCCATTTTTTCCCCATTAACCCCCTCCTCCCCAGTCCCTTCTCCCTTCTGCCTTCCCCACACTATTGTCAGTGTCCATTGGTTATGCATATATGCACAGAAGTTCTTTGGTTTCTTTCATTCCCACCCTCCCTCCCCCCTTCCCTTTGAGGTTCATCAGTCTAACAACAAATCTGTACTTCTTAATTTCTTCATCTTTTTTCACGGATCCCTCCAGCCCCCACCCATCTGGCAAGCAACAAAAGGCTGTCTGTATCTATGAGTCTGTTTCTCTTCTGCTTGCTCATTTTGTTTGTAGAGTCAATTGTTGATAGATATGTATTGCCATTTTATTGTTCATATTTTTGTTCTTCTTCTCCTTCAAGAAGACCCTTCAGCTCTGGCTGGTTTGGCTCAGCTGTTAGAGCGTTGGCCCACAGACCAGAGAGTCCCGGGTTTGGTTCCCGCTAAGGGCATGTACCTCAGTTGCAGTTTGTCCCTGGCCCCAGTTGGGGTCGTGTGGGTGAGAACCACTCGATGTGTCTCTCTCACACTGATGTTTCTCTCTCTCTCTTCCTCCCTCTCTCCCTCCCTCTCTATCTGAAGATAAGTGCAAAAGTGTCCTTGGGTGAGGATTAAAAAAAAAAAAGAAGAAGACCCTTCAACACTTCATATAACACTGGTTTGGTGGTGATGAACCAAACCAGTATTTTTCTTGTTTGGCAAACTCTTGATATGCCCAGCAATTCTAAATGATAGCTTTGCAGGACAGAATAATCTTGGTCGTAAGTCATTGCTTTTCATCACCTTGAATATCTCTTGCCACTCCTTTCTGGCCTGCAAAGTTTCTTTTGAGAAATCAACTGACAGTCTTATGGGAGTTCCTTTGTAGGTAATGAACTGCTTTTCTCTTGCTGCTTTTAAGATTCTCTCTTTCTCCTTAACCTTTGGCATTTTGATGATGATGTGTCTTGGTGTGGACCTCTTTGGGTTCACCTTGT